AGATGGATTAAAATATTTCCTCTCCAAGTTGATTTTGGTCACGGTGTTTTATCACAGCAACAGAAACCCAAAGACAATGCTCCATTTGAGAGAATTCAGCTCATATTTCTCTTCAGCTGCTGATGGCCCCACATATGCTGAATTGATTCTTTGACATTTAGAAACCAAAAAAGTTCTAAAAGTTGGGCCAATGGTCAATGATAAAATATAGAGTTGAGAAAATATAGTCATAGAGAATTTGCTGTGGTGTTTTAGAAAGGAGATGCTCATTTCCTGTGTAATTACATCTGCTAGAATATTTAAAAAAGAAAAGCCTTGATTTCAAATACCAAACACATCTACTGTATAAACCCAGAGGCAGTTAATATCTTTAATGAGGACAAAAGCACACAGGAAAACAATTATGTTTCTTTTAAATCATAGTTTACAGCAAACTAATTGAATTTAAAAGTAATTAAACAAGGGAATATCAATTAGCTATCTATTGTCTCTCTTGTGTAATTATAATGTGTTATTGCTGACACTTCGTAATTGTTGTTGAGCAGCTTTTTAAATCCTATCATTAGTTTTCCAGAAAAGAAACTGCAAAGTATTAGATATTTCTCTAGGTGCTGTTATATAAGTAGGTGGCTAGAATTCCTCTTTGTTACAAGGAGGACAACTGATTTCAAAGACATCCTGATCTACTAAAAGCATTAGAACATGTATAGAACTACTACTTGAAAAGTAATGATCACAGTTATTCAGAATACTTATAACAACCAAGTTAAACCAATTGAGCTACCACAAGAAGCAGGACATTTGTAAAATAGCTCAAAGACAAGTTGGTTTTTAAGGTAAATGAACCTATATTATCGCCCCTTGTCAGGATAACAGTGTATACAAAAAAAAAAAAAGAAATGGGGAATAGAAATCATCTTTTATAATTTCAAAAGGCATTCTCCTTTCGTTTCCCCTTTTCCTAAATGAGTTGAAAGAAGGTGAAAAACGTACTTGAAGAATGCGATTCTTCAAAGTTCCAAGTGAGAGGAAACTTCATGACTTTCATACTGAGGTTGTGCAGGACATGCCATCCTTTTATAACATGACACTTGGCTGCCAGTGGACTTCTTCCTTCTTCAATGCCCTCCTTCAATCTCATTGATGTATGCTTCCCCTCGCTTAGTATAATAATAGTTATAGATTATTCCCATCCATGACAAAATTCTGCTTCACTCTGACCGGCAGTATCTTCTACTTTCTGAATTTTAATATCTATAGTCTCATTATCATTCCTGAAATCCAGAAAAAATACTATGTACTATTTTAAATATCTTTGAAAATATATAATAGAGGTTCAGAAAGATACTATCACTAAACCTAGACATGCATATCTATAATCCAAGTCACTTAGGAGAATAAAGGAGGAATACATCAATTTCAAGGTCACTCTGCACTACCGAGTAACCAAAATGCCAGCTTAGAAAACACAGTGAGACCCTATCTCAAAAGTGATAGCAGTAAATGTAGTAGCTCAGTGGAAGCCTACTAGCTTACAATACAGAGGCATTTAGACTCAATTGCAATCTCAATAAATATTATTACTAATTTTGAAAATACAAGTTAAAACTTGACTATGCATCAGAGTGTATGTTTGCAACTATCAGAGCATGTGCATGCACACACACACACACACACACACACACACACACACACACAAACACACCTATTCTCAGCCATAGAGGGCTGGGAAACTGCTTCTGGAAATACACCCTAATACCACATGCTTATCAATTTCTCCTAGAGTTCATTTGATGATTATATATAAGAGGGCATATCACTTATCATTTAAAGAACAGTTTGGATCTTAATGCCCTGGTGCTTTACCTCCTAACTAGAAAATAGGAGGCACAATATCTGTTAGAGGAATATTGGCCTAAGAAGTCTTCATCAACCTATGCAAATCTAAATTTCTGATTCTGATTATATTTTCATGCAAATGTTGGTTAGATTTCCTCTCTCAGACCTTCACTCTGTGGTGATTCATCACCCAGCTATTGTTACCTGGCTTATTTGGTATGATCCACTCAATGGTGAATTTATAAAAAGCTAGGTTTTAGGTGCCCTTAGCATCACACTAAGCTAATGGATAACTGTCCCTTCTAAACAAAACATCTTTGATAATTTTTTTCTACCAGAGTTACCTTTGTATATGTGACCTACCCACACAGTGATTCACCATATTTAGAGAAAAGGAGAAGGGAAGTTCAGGGTTACCTAAGCGATCTATTCATTCAGCAATTTCAGATTCCTCCCAAATGTGTAGGTTGCTGTAGTTTCTCATTTTGTTTTCAAATTCCATTAAAAGTTAGTTTCCTAGACCTTTCCTTGTGAATTCAAGAAGGAGAAGTGTGTTGCATTCCTTTTCTGTAGAGCACTTGATTTACTATCAGGGTTGTCTGTTGGGTAAAGCTGTATATATCTCAGGGCAGATAGACATCTTAAGAAAATGGTTTCAAGAAAAGCTAAAAGAGCTCAATTAGGATTATCAAATTACTTTTGTTTTACCTTTGGATAACATTCCATTTTTTCCCAGATCAAGCCTCCGTTATCCAAAAGTAAAATGAATGGCCCCACCTAACACACCAAATTAATGTAATGTTGTACTGAAAACTGGCTAATGACTCTCATTTTCCACTTATAACATCTCAAAAGAACATCTGTATCATTAAATACTTAAGCAGTACAGAAGTGTCTTTTTCAAAATATAGCAGAGTATTGTGATAATTTGGATAGGTATCTGAATGTACATTCTGATAGCAAGCAGAACTCAAAAGGGATGTAAAAAATTAGTTTGCTAACATAGAAGCTCTCTGTCATCCCTAAAGTCATGTCTTGGTTGAAGCTACTCTTTATTTTTAGGCTGTGACCTCCAGTAGGTCTGTGTTCCAATATATTAGACAGGAATAGAGTTCTAAATAATGGTAAATCATAAATTAATAATCAAGTGGCTTGTGCCCTTTTTATAAACTAGGTAGGAATTATGAGATGGCAAAGAGAAATTCTTCTAACATTGGCAGTCCAATACAAAGCCTGTGGGTTACGCTGGTACACCTAAACAATTACAGTAACAAGCCCTGGAAACTTAGGGTCTTTGCTAGCAGACTTTTGAAGCCAGGCATGTATGGTGCTAAGCATTCACATGGGGGTTTATTGCTTTAACCTATAACCACTTCTGGCCCTGGAACTTAGCAGCATTTGTAATCCTTGGTTTAAAGCAGAAGCAACAGCAGACAGACTTGGGTAGCAGCAGGCAGTACCTGCTAATATTACAGGTCTCAAACAGACCTTGGGTGCTGGAAATCCTAGCCATTGTAGCAAGTGCTATAGCTCCCAAACCTAAGTATCAGGTTCCACCAGTCTGCAGCTAGTGTCACAGCCCTAGACCTAGGGTGCTTGGAACCTTTGGTCCTTAAGGCTTGCCAGCTTCCTGGAATTCTTGCAGCAACCAGGGTCCACAGTTTCTTATCACCTCCTCAGAACCTTCCACAGCCTGTTGTCTTCCTTACATCTGCTTCCAGTTATTTCTGCTGCCACTGCTCTCTGAAAGGATTCCATTGCTCTGTCTTCACTACTGCTGCTGCATAAATGGCTACTCCCATCAGCAAAGCCAGAGCTTGACTACTGCTGTAATTATCCTGTCTTCCTGCTGCCTGTTCATCCCATTCTACCAACAATAAAATCCAAAGAAGACAAAGAAACCAACAAAACAAAAATAACAAAAAACACCTCTATAGAGACCCCTGTATGTGGCCTATTATTGCAACAGTATAGAGTAGCTCTCTCCATATGACTGCAAAAGGGAAATAAACTGATATTTATTCAAATGAAGTACTGTAAAAGAACCAATCACAAGACTTCTACTGGTTTAGAGAGAGCAGGTGCTTCTTTAGCCTTGGTGAGAATGACTGAAGGGAGTTGACCAAATTTTGTCCTTAGAGTAATAGTTTTGAAGGCCTGTACCAACTGTCTGCGGCCCTGGCTTCATGACTCTCAAGGTGCCCCAGTATTCTCCCAGAGATTGTAATGTGTGCAGTCACTCTGCCATGAGGTATTCTGGCTGATGGTTCTAGACTCAAGGTAGCTAGGATACAGGGGAAAAACTCTAATAGTAGTCAATTGGGGACTCAATATCTTATTTAAAAGAAAGATAAATCTATAAGGGGAAGCTTATAATAAAAGCTTAATAAGAGTCATTTAAATGCTCAACAGTGGTTACCTAGTATTTCCTATCTCACTACTTCAGAGAGGAAGATGAGTCTCCTTTAATCTCTCCTATACAAAACCCAATTTTCTCCTCCTACAGAAAAACGCTGATAGCATCTGCCACATCCCCAGTATTCCTATAATGTAGCCATTATGTTTCATACATGGGAACTTTTCGGATATTTTGATGTATCTGGGTTGTCATGGTCGTGGTGTTGCTATACACATTTGGTCATCAAGAAAGCATTACAGTTTAGAGATTCTGTTCCTAGTCATGTGTCTTTTAGACACCCTAACTAGACTGCTGACTGCCGAGTCTCCCTTCGACAGACTTCCACACAGTCTGTAGCTTCTACTTGGTCTTGGCCTCAACCTAAGTTCTAATGATAGGCTCAGAGTAAACCAGAAATCACTAAACTAGACTTCTCAGGGAAGTCTCTTATGTTTTCAGTAGTGAGCAGACACTGGCTGCAAAGTCACTGAAAGATAATTCCAGATTGTTACAAGTTCCACAGAAATATGTTTTCGTTTGAATTGCTGTGTTTTCTTCCCCCAATTACTTCAATCACAGCCTTTCTAGGCTACTCCGGAACACAACGGAGGTGATCTTTACGGCACAGGCATCTCAAGACGGAGACACACTAAGTCCTTGTCACCACAACCACCATGCTATTTGCGGTAACATTCAGTAACCATGGCATCCGTGTCAGGCTCCACTAGCCATTGGCTCTCCGAGATAATGCCCTCTTTGCAGTGAAACATTCTGAAGAAGGAAGCGCTGCCAGCGTCCTCGAGATGGCAGCGCTGCTCACGCGCACTGGGGCCAGAGGCCTGCGCAGCCGCGGTGGTCCGCTTCCGGTCGCCAACTTGGGACCCAGAGCACACGCCATGTCTTACTTCAGCCACCCTAAGTACAAGACCGGGGATCTGGTGTTTGCCAAGTTGAAGGGCTATGCCCACTGGCCGGCGAGGATCGAGCAGGTCGCCGAGCCCAACCGCTACCAGGTGTTCTTCTTCGGGACCCACGAGACGGCCTTGCTAGGCCCCAAGCACCTGTTCCCTTACGAGGAGTCTAAGGAGAGGTTCGGCAAGCCCAACAAGAGGCGCGGCTTCAGCGAGGGGCTGTGGGAGATTGAGCATGACCCAATGGTCGAGGCCTCCGCTTCCCTGTGCCCAGGGGAGGAGCATGGCTGCGACCAGGGGCCCAGGCAGGGGGAGGAGCCGGGGCTGGAGGCGGAGCCTGAGCCCGAGTCCCTCCCTGAGCTGGAGCCAGAGCCGGGGCCCGAGATCGAGTCTGAGCAGGAGCCAGAGCCACAGCCTGCCTATGGCCTGCTGGACGCCGTGGAGGAAGAGCCGGGCCTCAGCCAGGAGGCCGAGCCGGTGCGAGAGCAGCACGCTGAGGCGGAGGAAGAGGCCGACGAGCTGGGGCGTCTGAAGAGGAGCGCGGAGGAGCAGCCACATGAAGTCCCCAAACGGCCCAGGGAGGCGGAGCCCGGCCCTCTGGAAGTGGAGCCTACTGGAGAGCGCGAGGCTGAGGCCTGTCCTATCAATGAAGAGCCTGACCAACCCCAGGAGCAGCGGCCTCCCCTCCAGGAGGAAGAGGCCACAGAGAAGGAGGTGCAGGCCCTAGTTGGTGGAGAAATCGAAGGCCTGTAGTCATGGTGTCCTTAGAAGAGCCCGCTACCCCATCCTGGTGCCACCTGGCTGTGGCTGGCAAAACCACTAGGACCCAGTCCTCACCCCCAGTCCATCTCTCCTTCGATTTACTCACCTTTTCCAAGCCCGAATTCCTGGAATGGGTCAGGCCACCTGACATCAACTTCATGGCTTCAGTCGCGGCCCCCTTCCCTCCCTGAATTCTTAAGGGCATTTTGGATCTCTGCCTGGGTACCAGGAGTGAAGGAGGGGGAAGACAAAGAGCAGAGACTACTTTCAAAGGTCTGGGAGGGGGCGATCTGTAAACTGGTGTGTTGGTCCTGTGGGGGCATGACCATAGTCCCCTTGAGTTCCTGTCTCCTCCTCCCATCGCTCTGTTCCCATTTTTATAGATTTTATAGTGAGACTGGGGGGAGGGGGCCCAGTAAAGATTTCTGTTGTCCCAGGCAGTTTGGAGGTTGCCTTTCTTTGTTTTGTTTTTCATTAAAACATTTGGGGCTCCCAAATTGTAAGATCTGAATACTTTGCCTGCCATTTTGGTTAGAAGTAATGAGACATTATCCTCTCTACAGCTCAGGGACCACTGATTGATGCCCTTGGGGAGATCTCTGCTGCCTGTTTCAATCTTCCTTGGAACCTCAAGGCCTTCAGTCATTATATCACTAGGACATTACACGTTAGGAACCACCTTTATTTTAAGAGGAATTTTTTTATTTTATTTTATTTAGGAAAACCTTTGGTTGTGCCTGCTCCTAGTTTTCCTGAGACCAATCTTATTTTAGTATGAACCAGGAATTCCCCTTTTGTTCGGAATTTTATGACCTTCCTGTTGTTGGGGCTTTTCTTTAAGTTGTTATTTCCATCTATGTGTCACCACCTGGGCCCCTCAGTGTTGTTGTCACCTGCAGCAAAATGTAATGTACTGAGAAGTTGAGTGACCCTTTCCAAAATCTGTCTCTATGTACCTTTGTACCTGGACCCTTTTGGCTCTGCCCTTTTCCCTTGGGCTCTAATGAAAAAAATATTATCTATGCTTTTGGAGGTGAAGGTCTGAGAACCATAGTTCTAGGAAATAAAACCATTGATGACATTAAAACAAATCTTCTCAGGCCTGTTTCTTTGGTGTCCAAAAGATTGGAGTTTTAAATGTGCTGTCACTTTTGTAGCACTCAAAGACCCACAGAAAAGGATTTTCTTGGAGAAACCTTTGATTCTTGATGTCACCATCTTTCACTCCATTAATATAGTCACTAGTACACATTCAAGTGAGTGGACAAAGATAAAAAGCTTGGATGATGACAAACTACACATTTCCTTTCTAATCTAAATGCTTTGTAAGGATTTTTGGTTTGGAGAGAATGAGTGAAAGGATTGGTTTGGTTCTTTTATGTGCACTTTCCCTACTTTGTCAATTAACACTATTTTCTTTGTCATGAAAATACAGTTGCTTCATAGTCCCAATATAAAAATGTGTAGTAAAAAATATATATCCAATACTTTAGGTCTTTTGGTGACTTTGTACAAATATCATCAGGAATTTAAATAATCTTAGTCACACGTTGTGGGTCCCAGGTTCTGCATGAAGGGTTGAGAGATCATAAATACTAGAGACCATCTCAAAGACCAATTCTTAACCCATCACTAGCGACTATTCCTGAATTCCATACTAGTAAAACTTACTTGAATACTGTCAGCTATGTAAGTTAGGTAATTGTTTCACAATGAATGATAATTGCAGAAATATTGGAAATGTATTGCCTACTGAGTTACCTGAAATACTTTCAAGCATTTACCTTGAAATATGGCCTTTTCCAACTTTTGTAAAATCAGCCAAGGTAGCAGCTATTACTCAGTTTCCTCTAAAAGAACTCTCTTTCAAAGTTTTCCTGCTTTCCATTGAACTTTTGCAACTCAAGCACAGATTTCTAAAACTTAGATATTTTCTTCTGAATTGTGCCTACAAATGCCATTATAAATTCAGAAGTTAATAAAGTAGCTAATCTAGCAATAAGTAATCAAGACAGTAGCTAATTTCTAAAGTGAGCCTCTACTTTTTGTATACAATGTCTTTATAATGCAACCATCCAATTAGACAGCTGCTATTATGTCTGTTTTAAACCTAAGGGAATTGAGACTCAGAGACATTAAGTAATTTTCCCAGTGGCAAACAATTAGTAAGTGGTAAACCAAGATTCAGACAAGGATTTTCTCATTCTAACCATAGGTGTTTTGTTCCATTTTATCCTTTTCTATTATATAAAACTTCTTATTCAGTTGAGAGCTTTTACTATCTTCTGTTTTGAAGTGAACATTTAGAAATTTGTGAGGGAAAAAATAAATTAACAATCATTGCTTATAGGTGTTTAAAGTCATCTAAGGACGTGACAATTGTTTTTTATATAAATGACATGGTTAAGTGGTGAGGACAATTGCACATTCACTATTTTTCAAGATACCTAAGACTAGAAGCTTTGAATATGCCAGAGGCAAGCATAAGCTGTTGATAATGCTTTTGTGGAGGCGCATTGTCTGAAATGATTCAATAACCTGAACGAGGGAAAATGAGTTGACTAGCATTTGTGCCCACTCTGTGTTGTTTCTATACTCTTTTATGTTTCTATTGTTGGGGATAGAAACTGGTCTCATTAGAAGTGGTGCTCTCACCATCTTATCTGTAATATTGTAGGAAAAATAATAATCTAACTGCTAGTATATCTGAAGAATAATGTCCTCATTTTAAAAACACAGTTATAACCCCAAAACAGAGAAAACAAGGTGGAGGGACTTGTGCTCTCTATCCTGTTATCAAAACAACAGAAAACACTATGTGCTATGGTGACCAACAGATGCCTTTGTCTTGAGCAGAAACTCAAGCTGTTTAAAATTCCAGGAATCCCAATGTTGCTTTTGTTTTTCTCTGAACAGTGTATGTCTCAGTGACAGAATTACATATAAATGATTACTTACCTTTCTGAATAAAGCTGGCTGCTTGATCTTTCATTGAAGCTGTGTTGCACTATTCAGCCATACTCGTGCTTTTTCTGATGGCTGTGTTTCAGATGCCCCCAAGTGAAGGTGTGCTTAACAGTGCTGCTGCTTCAAAGACATGGTGAACATACTGGGTTCTGTAATAATATTAAAGTATTCAATATTTCACTCAAGAATCACTTTGGTAGAGGACTAAGATTCCACTGAGATTTGCAAGTTTCGTTGCTTAATTTCAGTCAGGGTTGAGCTATCACCTGCTCTACAAATTTGAATCCAACATGTCAGCTCTTCCTTGTGGTGTATAGCTCATTGCGCTTTTTAAAAACATACCAGACATTAGGACACACAAGACATCTTCAGTTTACTTCGATGTCAACACTTGCCATAGAAAACCTTCTGCCCCACATTCTTGCTTTCATAACTCCTTGTATTTAAAAGAAGTTCTCCATCTTCTCAACCTCGGCAGCCCCTCAAGGTAAGATTCACCCCGTGTCTGTTCCCACCACTGTGTGCTGACGCTGATTAGAGCCTAATTTCCTGTGGAATTGACTCCTTGACTAAAATATTTTACTAGTGCTTTCTTCTTACACATAAGCATGCTCCAATAAGCACACAATAGTTATTTTATAAATGTTTGAAGGTCAGCTATCAAATGCCCCTTGAAGTTATGGTGATGAAGTGACAGCTGTGATGTCATGGTAGGTACACTCTGACAGCAGAGTGAAAGTATAGTTGCCTATAATGACAAAAGCTGGTTGGAGGATTTCTGTTTCCATGTAAGTAGCTGGCTCTTTTCTTATGGTGATTTGAAAACTTGATTCAGCATCTCAAAGATGTAAAGAAATTGGTCAATGTCAAAGCAAAAATTGCTTCTTAACCAGACACTATAATATTTGAATCATTTGTCTCAATTAGGCCACAGGAAAGCATACTGTCTACAGTGCACAAGCATACTGTCTACAGTGCATGGGTCCTTGTGTGGACAAAAGGTATTCTTACAGTTTTCAGACATGAGCCACAAACTGACCATTTCATAAAAGCCTTACAATAATGGAGGTTAGTGTGCCAGGGGGGATCTGAATCAGGATTTATCTCAGGCTCTTGGTCAGGTACACATGTCCCTGTAAACACACTCAGAGTTTAATGTACTTAACCGAATGGAATCTGTTCACTTAGCTGTGACTGCTTCCCAGCCTCTCTTGCCTGCTATCTTGCTGATCATAGAAATCTTTGGAATCATGGAGCTATCCTAACATGACTTTCTATGATAAGTCTTCAGGGAATTTTCTCTTTGTAGTCTGACCAGCATGGTAGTTATTACTTTACTCCTACTGACCAAATACTTGATAAGAAATGGGTTAGGGGGAAAAGGTTTATTTTGGCTCAGGAGATACAATCTACCATGCGGAGGAGGTGTGTTGGACAGCTGTGGCAGGATAAACTTTCTCACCTCTGGGTGGATCGGGAGTCAGAGAAGTGATGATCAACTCATCTTCTCCTTTGTTATTCAGTCCAGGCTTCCAACCCATGGGGTGATGCCATCTACATTCAGAACAAAACTCCTTCCACCATCCCCTGTTTAAAACTTCGGGAAAATCTTTCATAGATGAATCCAAAAATGTTCCCAGCTAATTTTCTAAGTGTTTCTTAATCCAGTCGGGATGACAATAGTAATTAGTCACTACACCCAGAAAAGATGACAGCAAAGTTTCTGGATGGACTGGGACACATGGGCTTGTGGAAGTGCTGGTCCTAGACTGGCTAAGTCTTCAGAATGGGAACCAGCAAAACATACTTCATCTGCCTCATTGTCCTGGTATGTGGTCAGTGCCCAACCAAGGACTTGGTCACTTTTTCCTCTTCTGCTGTTATCATTTTGGAAGAAGTGTTCCTTCTGTTCAGTTATATTTCCTTGTTTCTCCTATGAAAGTTTTCCTACAGTAGCTTCCTCAGAATTTGATATCACTCCAATATGTTAACACAACACCATAGGCTTTCCTTAATGTCAGCTCTACTCTTACATAAACGTTCCTTTTATTGTTTTTATCAACTACTGGACTGACTATTCCATGTAGGTAGGAACAGTTTTCTTCATATTTCTAAGAGCCTAGGAATGTGCCCTGTTCATGATAATAAATAATCATTGAGAAGGAAATGAATGTACACATGACTGAATTGGCTGCTGCTCCATTCCCTTACCAGCCCTCAGAGGTTAGCAAGTTAGAGTAATTTTGTCATCTTTAGTAAAACACAGTAAGGGAGGCTAAAGCTATTTTTAAATGATTGTGACCCTTTATTTTAAAAATTTGTTTTTATATTGCTTATTTCATAAAATTATATTTGTCTCACAAAGTAGCACCTCATCTGACTGAAACCCAACCATGATAAATCAAATCATGAAAGGTTTCCATCTGTACTAATTACCTTTCTCCTGCTGTGGCCCTATACCTGGCAGAGCAATTTAAGGGAAAAGGTGTCATTTTGACTCATAGTCTGAGGGAAAGTAGTCCAGGTCATGAAAAGCTGGATGCTAGGCAGATGCTTGGTAGTGAGTTTATGCAGCTGAGACTCCTGACCTCCTCACATCTCCATGGAAGAAGAAGCAGAGACCAGACAGAAGCAGGGTGATTACAAAGACGGAGACCCTCTTACAGCAAACCACCATCATTAAAAGCTTCATAACATCTAAGAAACAGCACCACGCACTAGATACCAAGTGTGCAACCTGTGAGCCTGTGCAGCAATATTCACCTTTAAAATGCAATACCATTTGCATCCCAAGTAGAAATTGGTTTTATCTTTATTAGTTTGATATTTCGTTTTTTAAGGGTAGGAATCAAACTCAAATCTTCACACATGTAAGGCAAGACTTTTGCCACTGAGCTGCATACTAAGCCCTCAATACTGCATTATTGACTTGGCTTTCTTCAATATAAGAAGCAGCTTCATGGTGTTGGGCTTTGAGCTGGCCAAACTCAGGTAAATCCTTGCTCCCCCATTTAAGAGCTATGTCATTTAAGATTCCTTCAGCCAAAGGCTCTGAAAGTGACTTCCATGTTACACATTTGTTATGAAAAGCAAATAAGCTCAAATATCTTAAAAATGTCACACA